AATTTTATGAGCAATTACGTTCTTCCAAGTCAATACTTGCTAAATTGATTTCTCTTTTACAATCAAGATACAGTTTAGCTTCATTTTATAACCTGACGCATGGCTCTCAGGTAGTTTGCTGTTTTCTTTTTGGTTCCTAAAACTTTCTTTCTAATTTTCCTGGCAGCTGTTTGGATTCCATCTGTGCTATGACGCAGTGTCTCCCTTGTCTGTCAGGTGACGACATAGAATCAGAATCGAGGTGCACCAAGAGGTTCAGATCCATTTGCTGAAAGGAAGAGCAAACGAGTGAATCTGCTCCCACAACTGCACACCATGGTCCGGAGACGGGACAAACAGCTCAAGTTACTGCCGTGGCACCAGCACCAGCAGGCTGAGAAAGACCTTGGGAAAGCAGCCCCGGCGAGCAGCAGCAAGGCCTGCGAGACTCACACACTCCTTGAAATTGCTTTGCTCTCTGCTCTGCTATCGCAAAATACCTGAAGCCTGGTCATCTATGAGAAATGACTGTACACCTTCTGGAAGCTTGGAATTCCACCATCCTGACACCAGGGATCTAGTGTGTGCTTAGGAGCAGGGTCGTGGGAAGAGCCTTCTATGTCTCTTTGCATGGCAGGAAGGCAGAAAGAGCCAACAAGGGCCCACAGCCCATTCTTCCGACGCTGATGTCATTTGTGCAGGCTCCGACCTCAGGACCTAGGACTGCCCCAAGGTCCCGTGTCCCAACACCATCGCCTCAGAGGTAAGAATTCTGGAAGACATACCCGCTCCCAGTGTAGTAAGTCCACTTCTCACGGCCTTTGTCCTCGACAGCCCACCCTGACGATTCCTAGGGCTATGCCTGTAGTGGTGCTGTCCAGCATGAAGGCCACAGACTCATGCAGCTGATGCAGGTCAGAAAGGTGGGGTCACCATGCAAGTGCAAAGGACTCACTTCACCCTGAAGACCTCGCATTCTGGATGTGAAAGGGAGCCACCTTGTTAACAGTTCAGTGTTATTTCCACAAAGAACTGATTCTCTCCGTGGTATTCTGAACTGAATAAAATATACCATGAAAATGATTTTCATGTTTTTACTTTTTTAAATGTGCCTACTAGAAAACACAGGATAGGGTGCACGGCCAGTATTATGACTTGGTCATGTAGAACTGTGCTCCAAATCTTGCTGTGCTCTGTGGCATGGCGGTTAGGGTCACTGCAGCTCCCTGGACCCTGGGTGGGCAGAGTGGGGACGAGGTCCTGAGGAGGGCAGCTCTGTCTGAGCATCCTGGCTCTGGGTGTTGCTGCCTCTGGCTCTCAGGGCGTCGCTGGGATGTGGCTTGCAGTGCGAGGAGAAGGGGAAAAGTGGGGACATGCAGTAAAACTTACAAAGCTCCCACAATCCACACCACCAAGGTCCCTTCATGAGCACAGACCCTTCTCCTGTTGAATTCTTAGGTTTAACTCAGGAAGCCGCCTCACAAGCCCCACACGTGGGCTTCATTCCTGGGTGACAGTCTCTGTGCTCCAAGAAGTTCTGCAATGGCCCGAGGTCCCAGGAGGCCCTGGAGTGGAGCTCACTCCCAGTCTACATGCCGGGGGCATCCAGGAGCCTTTACCTCACCTGTCCACAGAAGGAAAGAGAACAGTAACAAGGATGTGCATAAGCTGGGAATTGCTTCTCACAAAAATGATGGGAGGACTCAATGCATCTCTAAATCTATGTATTTGTATTCGGATTTCCAACTATCGTTTTAAACCAAATCTGTTCAGAATATTTGCTGTCTAATCAAAATGTATGGTGAATGTTTAAATTTTTAAAAAGTAATTATTACAGAAAAAGCCACACTGCAATTAATTCCCCTCGGATTACTCTTCCTTACTTCAAATGCTCTTTTCCCATTGTTCTGGTCATGTTTTGAAGCAACTCTGGAGTCCTCTTTCCTGAGGGTCTTAAGAGGTGTGATCACAGATTCAGTGACTCCGGCTACCCAGCAGAAAGGCAGCTCATAGAACGTGAGTGTATTCCCTTCCACCAATTCACCAGATCTGGCATCGTGTAACTTCCGGCTCTTCCCTAAAGTGGAAATGAGCATGAAGAGTGAATGCTTTGAATCGATTCAATCAGACATCAAGGCACCCAGGACCCTGCGAATAAAACCACACAAAAGAGGACGCCAGAACTGCTGCAGATCAGGGCTGGAAGGATGGCGTGAGTGTGTTGGGAGGGAGAGGGATATTCTGAATGGGATAAGTGACAATGTCCTTGACTGCAATAAAGTTATTTTGAGTTTAGCCACTCACAGTACTTTTCAATCACATCTAATACTATTTTCAAAAAGGTAAAGAATCTCCAGATAATTTCTTATATTAATGAGAAAAATTCCATCAAATTCAATATGTATTCAACCAGAATCAATTTGAGTAACAAGTTTAATACTTGAGCTTTTTTGAATATTTTCATGTGAATAGTTATCAACAAAAATATTATACTCTTTCTACAAACATTAGCTGAGTTGTGCTTACTTAGTAAAGAAAATAAGACAATGAAGACATAGTTCTTATTCTCTTGGAATGAACAGATTATAGAACAAGAAAGAAAGGAAATAAATAACTACCATGAATTTCAGTACATACCGCATGATGTGCACAAGACAGCATAGAGACAGTTAATATATCACCTCTACTTGATGAGGGTACACACTCTCCCCAAAGAGTGTTTGTTTTGGGACATGGACCGAGAAAATGCACCTGCAATAAGTCAGAGCCATGAAACAGCATGTAGTACATGCAGCTGTCTGCACCCTGGCTCGCAGCTCTCCTTGCTCCAATGGCATCTGAAAGGAGCACAGAGGAGTGGGAGTCCTCCCGGGGAACATCAGTGGCCACAGCCATGGGTTTGCAGGGAACAAGCTCCCAGAGCCATGGGCGAGTGGCACCCTGGGGTCTGCCGTCAGCATGAGTATGGGCTTCTCTCTGCTCACAGGAAGCTGCTAAGTTGCAGCAGAAAGAAATGCAGATGGCAGGTGGATTGAGACTGCCAGAGGTAGGTGAAGACAAGGAAGCATCCCCGAGTTTTAGCACAAGGGTTATTTAACTGGCATCCAGTAAGGAATGGAGCTAAGAAACATGGCGGCAAGGGTCTGGTCAAGGACTGGAGGGCCTGCATGTCAGGAAAACCAAGTGGGCTGAATCAGGACACGCAGAAGAGTGCGGGACCTGGGTGGAAACCCGGCTGTTAGGGTTCATATTCACGGGTTTACTGCTTTTTAATGTGTATCCTTAAACATGTGTGAAATTGTGTCGCCTAAGTTGTCCAGTACCTGAAATTCAAAAGGTTGCACAGCTGATTCTTTTCTCTACATTTGGGGAAATAACTTGGAACTACTATTGACAGGGACTTAGCATTGGCGTCCCCTTGGCAGACCAGATAAATTGGCAACACAATAATCACTTGACCACTAGAAGTGCCAAAGGCCATAGTATTCCTAAGGAGGTCTCTCCAGTTTAATATATCCTAACAAAACATCTCAGAAATCCTGGATACTTTTATTTTATTTATCCAATTGTTCATATATAATTAAAGAATCTATGTGTTAAAGGAAGAAAATGAAATACTTGCTTTCTGAAGACTAATGTAAATTCACAGACAAGTTTGTGCCTCTCTCTCCCTCTCCCTCTCTCCTGGTGGTACTGGGGGTTGAACCTCACATCTTTACACTGAGCTACATCCCCTACCAATTTATTTTTATTTTGAGACAGGGTCTCCTTAAGTCACTAAGTTGCCCAGGATAGACTAGAACCTGTGATGCTCCTGCCTCAGCCTCCTGAGCTGCTGAGATTACAGGGCTGCACCACTATGTCCACAAGAACAGAGCTTTTTTGCCCTGCTCAACCCAAGAATCTGAAGGATCCCCTGGGTCTCCAGACTCTTCCATTCTTCCTCCTGCAGGACAGAGCAGGAGGCTTTGTCAGCTGCCACCAGGCTCCCCCTCTCCCCTGCTGCCTAGGGCTCCCCACCTGCTCAGGGTCCCCTTCACCCACAGAGAGGAGAGGAGCAGAGGGAGCATCCTGGCCCCTCTGCTCCTCCCCAGGTCTCGCATTGGGCTGCAATTTTACGACAAATCTGCCCTCAATGGATTCCTTTGCTTTTCAGCCATCGATTAATAACAAGTCATAGTTTGAGAAAAGCCAGGAGAAGAAAGCGCCAAAAGGTGCTGGAGCAGAGGCTGGGAACCCAGGGGCAGGAGGCTGGGAGGAAGGGAGGGTGGTGCCGGAAAACTCAGGCGCAACCAGAACCGCTGTTAAGGCCTCACTGGAGGAACGGAAGCCCCTAACGTAGTCCCACAGAAGTCCATTAAAGTGTCATAAATTTAACACTTTTAATCTCTTTGTGAATTGTGGATACTCCAATTTAGTGGTTCTACAAACTGTTGTCTTCCACATTCTCTTACTTAGCCTTCTCTAATTAATAGAAAATGTAATATTGCAAAATCAAAATACGAACACATCTATCTACCCCAACCATGTAAACATACCCAGGAATATAAAGCGAACCATGAGCTCCCAAACTTTATTAGGAAATAAAAGCTGAAGAACACTATTAAGCCACATATGGGCACATTTTGTTTGTTGACGCAGTACTAAGCATGCTCTAACGTGGAAGTAAAATTGATTTTTGTTTGTGAAGTAGGAAACAAAATCTTTTACAAGATGCCATTTAAAACTAAATACCATGGGTTTTGCAGAGCAGACGTGGTTTCAAGGATGAGATTATTATTCCTGTCCCCAAAAGCTTCTCATTTCATAGCAGTACTGGATTTTATAGAAATAATAAAGTAAGGGTGGCTGCAGTAAGCGTTTTGATAAATCAATAAGCACTTGAAGTACACTCAGCTTACCCTTAAACAAACAGCGTCTGGTGAAGCACTTGCTGTTGTCCCAGCAAAGGGCAAAGGTTGTTCTCAGTGCACGGTCATGTGCTATCACAACAGGTACAGGGAGGGGATAGGAACCTCCAGGGCAACCCTAACACAGGAATTATTCATGCAGTCACTCGAGAGCCTTGCAGGGCTGGAATTCCAGCCAGTGTGACTCTTAGCAGGGCACTCTTGCTGCCAGCCTACTGGTTTCTCTCGCAGGGAGACGGGAGGGGACTTCGGAATCCATCCCGAGGTGTCTGAGTCAGTCCTGAGGACTCATCTCATCCACAGAGGACACTTTCCAGGAGCTCCGACTGATGCATGAACCTGTAGACGTGTCCTACGTGCTTTCCTGCACAGGTATGTCAGCCAGCTTTCCACTACAAACTCAAAACATCTCAACCTGTGGTGGCGAACCTGGGGCATGCAAAGCCCACTCTGTCTGCACTGGAGCCAAATTGCGCCAGTGGCCGAGCATGGGATACTCAGGGATAATTGCAGTGTTGGCATTTTGCAATAAATAAGTGGGTTTGGAGTTGCTCTTTGAGCTCTGGGTCTCTGGAATTTTCACCATCACTGCCTTAGGAAATCAGTTCCGCTAGGGAAAAGGACTTTGAGTGGGGAGGGAGGGCATTGTGGGGTGATTAGGCCACCAATAGTTAGTAATCTGCAAGTGGGGAAAGTAGGCTCCTCCCTTCCCAATAATACAGGGAGGTCAGGCCCCAACCTCCCTGAGGACATTTCAAAGACGTACCTGGCAGGTCCAAGAAAGACCTTTGGGTTGTAGATTTACATCTCAAAGGACAGAGAAAGGATTTGCAATTGCAAATGTCAGAAAGTAAAAGCTCTAAGGAGAGATCAGGTGAGTCAGGTCAGGTTTTTGGCTGGAACAAATTAAATTCTAGCCAGGCCAGGTGGTGCAAGTTTGTAATCCCAGCAGGCTGTGAGGCTAAGGGAGGAGGATGGCAGGTTTGAGCCCAGCCTGGGCAGTTTATTGACTTTGGGAGACACTGTCTCCAAATTTAAAGAAGTAAATAACTAGATGGCCAGGGATGTAGCTTAGCGCAAAGGTCCTCAGTTCAATTACCAGGATCACAAAAATAATAAAGTACATTAAGAAATTACTTTCCTGCATAGAGCTCTTTGCTGGTGTTTTTTTGTTTGTTTGTTTGTTTGTTTTGCTGGTCTTTTAAGGAGGCTGAGGTTTTCCTAGGACGAGGCCATGAGCTGAGAGGGCCACGCTGGAGGTTGACCAGATCTCTTAGAGGGGGACACTTGGACGAGTCATGTGCGGTAACTGTGCTGTTCGCACAACAAAAGGCCAAATCAAATGTCATGTGTAACGCCATACTTGGTACACAGTGTCTTTTAAAAATGCACACTTTAAAGTGGTGTAAATTTTCAAATAATGAGTAGTGGAAAAGTGCAAATAACATCATAGAGTCAAAACATGACAAAGTAAAAAACTACATCGTCAGAGGCAGATGAGAAATAACATCTTCCCAGTGGTTCTTGAAACAGGGAACTGTGTAAGCAGTGATTCACCACCTAAGAAGACTTTCTCTTACATGAATCTATTCCACACTAGTGAGACATGGGGGTGAACGTTTATTCTTCCTGGGGAACTGCTGTCATGCCTACAGGAATGTGAAGGAAGACTATGGACAGCCAGAATACTTGGAAGAGACATCGTGCATTTCTGGTTTAAAAGTAAAATTCGAAGACCTCAATACAGAAAATATTTTCTACATTTTTAGAGAACATGGTAATCTTTAAAGAAAGTTCATAGAGGGGCTGGGGATTTAGCTCAGCGGCAAAGCGCCTGCCTGGCAAGCGCAAGGTCGTGAGTTCGGTTCCCGGTACCGGAGAAAAACCAAAAATTAAAAAAAAAAAAAGAAAGTTGATAGAAGTACTTAACGTTTCCTGAAAAAAATTTGCACAGAGTAATTTCACTTCCTCGGTCACCCTGAACCATTTAAAGGGGCTACAGGAAGATTCAGGTTGGTACCAGAGAAGGAAGAAAACTCATCACCAAGTAAAGTAAAGGCCGAGCTCTGGGAAGGGGAAAGGAGAAAAGAAGGAAGGGAAAAGAATTATCTTGTAATCTGAGCAGCTATTTTGAAGATAACAACATGCAATATAGCAACCATTGCTAAATTCCTATCATCTTGTTTTGAAATTCTGTTATTTTTTCTTACCTTTCAAATAAAAAAATTTAATAATTAAAAATAAAAGGATGGAGATGGAGTGCAATCTGAAGGATTTAGTCTCCAGTACTGTATAAATAAATAAACAAACAATGTAATTTAGTTAAACAAAATAAAGGCCGAGCTCAGATCTTTCCAGCAGAAGTGCTCAGGAATCCCAAGCAGACATTGACAGTGCTGCGAACCCCCATGAGTGCTTTGCTGACTGGCCAGAGGCTGCATCTTTGTCCCCCTCCCCAGCTGCTCCCACAGAGTCCAGGGTAACACACGTCCATGGCCTCACACTCTTGCCTCGCTTTCCCAGCGAAGCTGGTATTTTCCACTGGAGAGAAACGCTTGTAGGAATTCTGAAATATGCAAGACACGGAAGTTGAGCAGAAGACTGCAGTGCGAGCTTATTAACCATTAAGGCCCTTTCTAAACATCTTATTTAGCACGTGTTAATTTAAGCTGATCCTAACAGTGCACAGTTCCGTACTGTAACTATGTCATTCTTTTTTCTGTCAAATTTATATGATACTGCTTTAGAAAATCTGAGTAGAGACATTAAAGAACAATTAATTTAAAAATCATTTAATAATTCTTCTTATAAATAAATAAAATTAACTTTGCCTCTGGGCGACATCAGTCTGGTTTCTGTGAACAGTACATACCTGAGAACGCATGTACAATGAATTTTAGATTTTTACTGTGAAAATTCTCAGAAACGTCAAATAGAATTAAAAATCCAAGCTGGCTTAGTAACAGCTTATATCGAGCAGTGACTTCATACAAATTTCTTTTTCCACTCAGTTTTCTCTAGCAGTTGTGTGCAGATGTTAGTGAGGTTTCCTTTGAGATGTCTGTCTGGGTACCATGCCTGTTTTTTTATCAGTTTGCATACTTTTCCCTGTAGAATTCTCAGAGTACCTTACATGCTTTGGAAATCAACTTCTTGTCAGGTATCTAGTTTGCAAATGTTTTCTTCCATTCCATATATTTTCCTTGCACACTGTTGATTATTTTCTTCACTGTGCAGAAGCGTTTTCATCTGATGTAATCTCATTTCTCTATTTTTCCTTTTGTTCCCTATGTCCTCCAAAAATGCCTTTCATCATTCAAGATGTCCTGAAACATTCCTCCTATATTTCCCTGTAGGTGTTTCAAAGTTTCACATTTCCTTTGAAGTCTGCCATCCACTCTGAGCTGAGTTTTGTAACTGGTGGTGGATAACGGTCTGGTTTCATTCCTCTGCGTGTGGGTATCCCGGTTTCCCAGCTCCTTTATTGAAAAGAACGTCCTTGCTCTCGTGAAAACCCTTGGCTCTGGTTTTGAAAATCCGTTGGTTGTAGACTGCTGAGCTTCCCTCTGGGCACTGTGTTTGCACTTATACCAACCCTCACTGTTTTGACTGTGAAAAGCTTTGTAGTACATTTTGAACACAGGCAGTATGATATCTGCTGGTTCTTTTTGCTCAAGATGCTTTTGGTTATTTGAGGTGTGTTGTAGGTCCATATACCTTTCTAGTTCTTTGAAGAACCTCGTTGATATTGTTGTCATTGATATTTTTTTTTTCCTTTTTGGTTTTTTCCCAGTACCGGGATTCAAACTCACTACCTTGTGCTTCCCAGGCAGGCGCTGTACCACTGAGCTAAATCCCCAGCTCCCTGTTGTTGATATTTTGATAGGGATTATACTGAGCCCATAGATCATTTTGGGTAGGTTCTTAGCAGGATAATCATGTAGATGGAGGTATGTCACAAAGCTTTTCACACTAAGGAATATATCAAAAGGTGGAGGGTATAGTGATAGTTTAACTTCCTGTATTTGCACAAACAAGATTCTTTCCAGAACTTGGTTAATTCACTTCAAGGGGCTATGACAGTTTTAAGAAGACAAAGAAGGGAAGATGGAACTTAGGGCTTAATCACTGTCTCTTTATTTTATTAATGTGTTAAATGTTTTGTTTTTCTGAAGTGCTATGCTAACGTACGTCAAACAGGGTCCCCTGGCAGTGTGAGGATCCACTTAGACCTCTGTGATTGGCGTGAAGATTGTTTAAAGCTGAAGAGACTGGAGATTTAGCAGAAGCAGAAAGAAGCCTTTTTAGATCTGACCCCAAACACAATCTACATTCTGCAGCACCTGTACATTCCCTCTCTGGGGCAGGACTTCAATTTGCAGAAAACCCAGGAGTGGAGCCACCAGCAGTCTCCCTCCCAGGAGAGTTTCGGGCTGGAGAAAGAAAGAATGAGCACTCACATTGCGTAGACAAGCGCATCACCTACTTCCTGTCTCCTGCTTGTTTTGAAAACCCACATTTTCCTAGAGAAACTTGCATGCTCTTCCTGTGAGCTTCTGTCTTCTCTCCTTTTCCTGTAGGTAAGGGGGATAAATCTCCAGCTTTGTACGTAGAGAGCCCTTCCCAGTCTGCATCACAACTCAGGGAGTTTATATTTGTAATCCCATGAAAAGGTATTGCAATCCTAGGAGTTAATTCCAATCTACCACTTCCAGTGCAACCCATGGAGAGACTAAAGATACTCAGGCATATTTGTATTTATGGGGAGCCCAGGGGTCCTAAGTCCAGCCACAATGATGACCGTTCAGAACTAAGGCCTCCACCCAGGGCTGAAACTGGAGTTTATTCATTTGTGGAGAAGGGAGAGGCTTGAGGATGAGGGTGGCAGAAAGTAGGTGAGCGCTGTGAGCTGGGCCAGGTAGGAGGCCTGAAATCACCTCTGCAAATGCAGAGAGAGGATCTGCACAGAGTAATCTGCATGACACAATGGACATAGTATCTAATGTTCTGGGGTCCCTGCTTTAGCTCTGATGTGTGATCTTTCAAGCCCCAGGAAGTCGTAGCTTCTGTCTCGAGGCTGGATCCCAGCTGACAGGGTGGAGCACTGGCTCTTCATCCCATCTTGTCCTGGCTCACACAAGGGAATAGCAGGTGGGACTCCAGGGAAACACACCTGCAGTCTTCAAAGACCACCATCAGCACCTTGGCTGGACCCATATGCATTGCTTCAAGCCAATTTCAGGGACAAGAAAAAGTCCCAGCCAGCTCTGTACACATCAGTACATGGAAATAGGGTCAGGTTCAGCCAAAATGGAGACAACTGCTCCTCCTGTGAGGACAGTTGCCCAGGTGGTCCTCCACACTTTGTCCACTAAGGGAAGGAGATTCTTCTCTCGGCTCTTACATGCATGTGAATTTTTCTCCTATCAATTTACCTTCCCTATTTCAATGTACAGGCCGCCTAGTGCTGAAGCCAAGCTGCAGAAAACAACAGCCTTTCTTGTCCAAACTGAATAGAAATGCATGTTTAAAACTTGTGAGCATCACATTCACATTTTTGAATTCTTAAATTAGATTTTTCTTGTTAAGTTATGGAGTTCAAGAAAATTTTTCAATAATAGTGAAAGGATTCTTCACCAGTGAGGACTACACTAAGCGACCAGTGACAGACACCTGGAAAATAGAGGTCAAAGCAGCACAGATCTCTGGAGCAGAGCTATGAGGGATAGCTCTCTTGTGCTTCTTCCTTATCTGTAAGATGCGGCTTTTATAAAGGAACCTCACCAACACATCAGGAGCAACATCTGATTCCCTGAAGACAAGGTTTATCCAAAGGACATTTATTCTCCTTATCCTGATAATCAAAGAATACCAATGATCAGCAAATCCATTTCCATTAACAGAGGGTTATAATTATTGCTAATCAAGTGTCATTTGAATAACGAAGAAAAACCAAGATAAATAAAAATGGTTTTAAAATGTCAGCACTCCCTGGTACCCATGGGTACTGGCTCCAGCATCCTGAACGGACACCAAACTCCATGATGCTCAGTTCCCTTCTGTGAAGTGGCACGGTGCTTGCGTCCAAGCCATACACATCTTACCATCTGCCGTAAATCATCTCTGTGATGGCCAACACAGAACTGGTCCTATATAAATAGATATTGCACTGTTATACAATTGACAAAAAAGTGTCTGCTCAGTGTGGATGCCACCATTGCACATGTAACCTCTACCTGCAGCCGAACATTTTATTTATTTATTTAGGTTTTTTTCCAGAACCAAGAATCGAACTCATGACCTCACGTTTGCCAGGCAAGCGCTGTGCTGCTAAGCTAAATCCCTAGCCCCTCAGGCTAACATTTTAGATCAGCTATTCAGTGGATCACATATAAAATGACTCACAGGGTAGTATTTTCTACTTATCTATGTAGCTACCTTTACCAAATATTTTACTTTCTCCTAAGGCATCCATCTACTAGTGCCATTTTATTTCAGCCTTTAGGATTGGTTTGTTGATTGGTTGGCTGGTTCTTTAGAGTACTGGAAGTTGAGAGGGCCTTCTCAACCAGCTACATCCCTCGCCATTCTTTATGTTCTATTTTCAAATAAGGGACATGCTAATTTGTCCATGCTGGGCTCAAACTTGGGATCTTACTGCCTCTCAGAGTGCTAGTGATACAGGGGAAAGAAACTTACATCCTGAACGATACCTAGGACAAGTGTGTGTTCTCTAAAATTGAAGAACGAATTTTAGGAACAGAGGTTAAGAGCAGGATATATTTATTGCGGGAAAGAAAGCTTCTGTCCAAGAGAGGAATAGAAGGGGGCCCGAGTGGGATGCCCGGGACCCTGTCTTTCCTAGTAACTTTTATAGGGCAAAATCACAAGGTGAGGCAGGTCCAAAGTGGAAAACATGGGAACTCGCCAGGTAGACATGAAGTGGGATAAAACTACGGCCAGCCGGTAAGATTACAAGCATAATTGTTCAGGTAAAATTGATTAAATTGGAATCAAAAGGGGAAGCAAGGGACTAGCAAGCGGGCAAGCCTTTCCTGTAGGGGGTTGGGCTAGTGACTCTTCCTGGCCTTTTCAAGGTGATCCTACCTCTTTAGAATGTCAATCCCTGACGATTAGCCTTAGGGAGCTATGTGGGTGCATCTGTTTAATCTTTTGTCCACAGCTGGAGGTGTCTGCCTCCCCCATAGTTGCAAGGTGTCTCATATTCCACACTGACCCTTTCGAGGGCATGGCCCTGTCTGACTACCTATCATAATTTTAATATTTCTATCTAATTCAGCTGCCTATAACACTAGAATTGCAGGCATGCAATGCCACATCTGGCCATTTCGCCTTTGCTATACCAGCAACAAGCTCTTCCTGTTTTGGTTTACCTAGAAATGTCTTAATTTCTCCTTCATTTTTTAAGTGCAATTTAGTTGGACACAGAATTCTTGGTTGGCAGCTTTCTTTTACTTGCTAGAGCCCCTTTAAAACGTCACTCTGTTTCTTTCAGGCCTGAATTTTCTTCTTAAATGAACAACTGACTGCACTGCACCCTCGGTCTCTCACACCTGACAAGCCGCTCTCCCCTTGCTCTGTGTAGCTGCTCCCTCGGTCTCTGTTGTCAGTGGATGGACTAGCACCTGCTTTGCTGCGGCCCCGCTGAGAGACACTGACTTGGTGCTGCACACCACTTGCCCTGTCTGCCACCCTTCGGCCCAGATGGGTTCAAGAGTGTTTGTAGTTTTCTTAGTTTGATCTAACCCCTCAACTTACAAATGTTCTCTCCAGGTGAGAAATATAAATTCAAATTTCAAGTCAGTGCACGCTACAAGAGCTGAATTTAGATTTTCCAAGTTAAACTGTGTTATTTTTAACCTCTGTCTTCACGGGTAGCAAGACTGCCTAATATACTGTCAGTCTTCAAGCTAACCTGGCCAGCTCTCCCTCGTGCTCCTGCTGCTTCGGGGCCTCTCAGTTCTAACCTCGAGGCACGTGCTCTCTTCTGCGGACATCGAGGGCCACTGCAGCTCCCAGTACAGTCCACGCTTCCCAGTGGCTCTTCGTCCTGGTTCTCATAACCAGGACTTTCCCTCCTTTATAAGATCTGAAGTACATCTGAAAAGGCTTCCAGTTGCACATTTCTAAAGGTTGGTAAAAATGGGGCAAAATGCTGAGTAGGCTTTTTCCCATTTTTCCTTAACCTGGAGTGGGTTCACATCTCCTCAAACTACTTCACAGCATCCATCCGGTGAATAAGGAGAGCTGGGCGGTCACCCCCGATGCACCAGTTAACAAATCAGTCACACTGGCCTTGCTCACAGTGTTCTGGACAGCAGCTACTACAAAAGTCGATTTCTTCCCCTTAAATATATTTGTATTTACCTTCTCTGTTCACAGACTGTTTCATCTTCTGTTTCTAACTTTTAGTATTTACACCAAGTATTGTCTTAATATAGTAGCCTTTTGTTGCTACACGTTTTCTACAGCTTTTTATGGTGTGATTCTCTTCATTTCCCATTGTGCAGAATATTCAACAGTATCCTCAAATACTGCAATAGCTATAATTACCATATATATCTATATATCCATATCTATATATCTACACTTTTTTCAAGTACTACAATAGCTTCATGTATTACAATAGTATAATTTATATATATACTCTGTTTATGGACTAGTACAAATGTCTCATAATATTTTCATTAAATATCTTTGGAAATTCAACAGATTTTCTCAGATCTTAACGATTTCTAAAGGAATTATTTCCATTCTTCATTTTAGTAAATACTGAATCTAATATATTCCATTGATCAAATTAGGATGTTGAAAAGAACCAATTATACTTCTGTGCTTTACCTTTTAATTCTATTTCAATCATCAATAAATCTTATCTCCTCTACTTTTAATATAATCTTGATTTCATGCACTTTTTACTGTTTTCATTTTCACTGTGCTATCCATTTGCCATTCTTTCGCATTGAAACAGTGTACCATCGTTTTGGTTGGTCTTTATGATGCCAATGTTCTCCAAGCCAAAAACTATCTTAAAGAATGAGAAACATCTTCCAGAAGCAGAATCCTGCAATTTTAATCATTATTCAGTCAATTTTAATCAAAACTTATCATGGCTTCCCAGAGTAAAATATGAAAGTAGAAACAATGCAGAAAGACAAAATAAAACAAACAAAAACCCCTGGCTGCCTTATATCTTAAAATAGCAGTAATTATATTAAATATAAATGGCTTAAACATAGCAAGTGAGGAGATAGTGCAGTAGAAGGAATTTTTAATTTCTTAACATTATGTTGTCTATAAGAAACTTCCTTCTTCTGTAATAAATAATCCTGAAACAATATTTGAATATATAAAAAAGAAATTTGACTATTACATCTTATAAAATTCAAAATCTAACACAAGATGTGTTGTCATCTTTAATATCCAAAAGTGAAAAATATAAAACTTTTGGAAAACAACAGGGAAAAAAAATCAGAATTTTAATGAAGGCAAATATTTCTTGGAGCATACACAGCATTAACCTAAAATGATAAATGTTACTTAATCAAAATTAAAAAGTTCAGCCAGGCACAGTGGTACATGCATATAATCCCAGCACTTGGGAGGCTGAGGTAGGAGGATCTTTCAAGGCCTTAACTGCATAATGAGACCCTGTTTCCAAAAGATGAAAAAAAATTAGAAGTTCAATTTTTAATTGAAAAGCAGCTAGTGAAAAAAGTGAAAGATTAGCTACAGATTAAAAATATATATTCTACTGACATGTCTACACACACACACACACACACACACACACAAGTTCAAAAGTTTTTGTCCAGAATATATAGAAAACTCAATTACAACTCAGTCATAAGAATGAAATAATATCTTAAAAATGAACTCCTAACTCCGCAGAAAATTCACAGAAAAAGGTGTACATAGCCAATGGAAACATGAGAGTATTTTCAATACAAGAACTAATCAGAAAATTACAAATGAAAATAGCAAGGCAATTTTTACTAGAACTCAATTAAGATGGCTAAAATTCCACATTATGAAAAGTCCAAAATTGGTAAGATTGTAGTGCCAGTTTATGGTGACTCTCTCTCATATATTACTAATCATCTGACAAAAATAGAAATAAATTTGTCAAAATGCATGACAAGTCTTTACAATATAAATGTATGTTAAACATATAGCTACATAACTAATTTTCTAAGTACTCCACTCTTAGATTCCTAAGAGAAGAGATCATACACAAGCACAAAGATTTTTAAACAAATGTTTATAGAAGTTTTATTCATATTAGCCACAGTAGCCAAACAACAGCCTAAATGGAAACAGCTCAAATGCTAGTCACAAAAAGACTAGACAATCAGTTATGTATGGTACATCCACATAGTGTAAAACAACCCTTCAGTGAACATAAAGTAAGTCATTGATATGTGTAGTAACCCAGATAGTCTAGATAAAACCTGATAGCTGGCAATCCTAGATGCAAAATGTTTACCCTTTATAATCCCGTTTATATGAAGCCCAAGGCGTGGGGAATCCTACGTTGGATTATGTGTCAGGAAAGTGGCAAAGGTAATTAACTAGCAAGGGCCTGAGGGTGCTTTCCAGGGGACCTAAGTTGTCTCCACTTTAATTGTGATGTGGTGTTTCCATGAATGTCTGCGCTTATCAAAACTCATCATTTTGTACTTAATAAATTTTACATAAAATGTATAAATGCTACCGTTGCTTTTTCACCACGCATCATGCAGTTTGGACACAGGCAGCCTGAATCTGACAAGTAACTCCCGCTGTTCCATCTCAGGGCCCTTCTGTCATCCCAGCAGTCTTACCTCAGGATACCATGGCCAAAGCCATCGCCCGCCTCACCCCTTTGCGAATCCCTGTTGGGAATACAGAGTCAAGAGCAAGGTCAAAGTGAGGCTCTCAGAATGTAAGCACAATTTCAAGATTTTCATAGATGTCCTGGCCAATACCTACCACCTGCCGGCAGCTGGACGCTCTTCCACACATAAGAGACCCAAGCAAATACAATTTTTAAAATCTATGCAAGCTGCCATTCCCAACAGAATAAAAGTCTTACTGTTAAAAAAAGAGGTGAATGAATTTAGGTAATAAAATACTAGTCTCTGCCGAAGTCAGTCCGTTGAGGGCCAGCCTGAAAAGCACACTTCATACATAATAAAATTTCCCTATCTCCAAAATGTTAAGCTGAAGCCTCATTTGTCTACTGCACTAATCTCTGAGAAATAGTCCAGATATTTGACCATGTAGACACCTCTCCACTGTGCGTGTGCTGTTGAGATCCTCACATTTGACTAGGCAAGAAATTCACAATTTTTCTGCTCCAAAACCACCAAGTGTAAAATTGTTGAGAACAGACACCACAAACACCACGGCAATCTCATCTGGAGAACAGGAGTGTCAGCCTCACAGTGGTCGCCGGCTGACGGCAAGTGTCACCATCTGGAAGAGACACAGACGTCCCTTAGTGCCACAGGTCCGTGATTATGAGTCGTGTTTGTGTAGAACTGCTGCTGGATCTTTGCAGCAGGGCAGCCTGTGGCCCCAGGCAAGGAGAACCTAGCTGAGCCTCACATTGCTGCTCCACCTGCTCTACTAGCAATTTTTCTTTTTATACCTCTCTCTCTCTCTTTCTCTCCCTCTGCTTTCTGTGTAAGGATCTGGTGACTGTTATCCTATCCCTCTTTGCTTTTTCAACTCTTCCCTGGGTAGGCTTACTTAATTGAATTCATTTCTATTTGAGTTCCCACCTTCCTTTTGGTTCTTTTTGGGGACAGTGGAAACTTCTTTTTGTGGTACTAGGGACTTTGCAATGAGCTGAGTCCTTCCTTCCTCTCTTTCTCTCTTTCTCTCTTTTTCATTTTGAGACAGGGCTCACTAAATTGCCCAGGGTGTGCTTGAATTTGTAATTCTCCTGCCTCAGTCTCTCAGAATGCTGGGATTATAGGCAGACACACTACATCCACACAGATTTTGTATTTATTTTGTTTGTCTAATTAATAAGTACACAGATTTTGTATTTATTTTGTTTGTTTAATTAATAAGTTACTCAATGTGCTTTTAAAAGAAATGAAAACCTATTATAAAGACTCATTCTTTTTCATGATTTTAAAAATCCTATGCATCAGTTCACCGTTAATCTGGACTCGGACCCAAATGAGCTGTTGTTTAGTGGGCTTATTTCACCACCATGGATCTGGGGCTTTATTTCCTGAATTCACTGTAGTCAATTATTTATTTTTAATATTTTGTTATTTAGGGTTTGATTCCCAGAAAATGAAGAAATCCTTGACAGTGTCAATTGTAAGTAAGATATAAAGTTTCCTAAAACATTTAAACTTTTGGGCAGACAGGCTTTCTATCTAATGATCCTGGTCAGTGGAAGGTCTGAGGCATGCTGCAGATTGGGGACAGTTTAAAATGTGTCCTAATTGCTCCATGCTGTGGGAATGGCAATGTGTCGTCCACAGGAGCAGTGTTGCGAGATATATTCAGTTAAATCATTTGAATGACCTTATTTTCTCAAGAAACCTGGAGTAAAACAAACCTTCGTGGGAACTTCTTGACTTATGTATTAATGCTATTAATAAATGTAGGTTCCAAGACAGAGGTGTCTCGTGGCTACAACCAGGGTGACTGCAGAACTGTAGATTCCCGCTGACATCTGGTTGACCTGGTTCTCCTAGCTTCAGTGCAGTGCATGGCTAAGGGGAACTGACAGTCGTTGTGTATCTCCAGGATACACTTCCTAACCATTTCCAGAAGCCTGACCCTGCTCATGAAGTTCAATGGATTAAAATATTTTAAATATGTAAAGTTTTTGAAGAAAATTTTGTTACTGTAACATTTTAATGCTTCTTTCCAAAATTGTTTTCCTACTTTCTGCTAAACCATTCTGTTTCATTAGCATAAATTTGTTTTCTCTCTGAACACCCAGAGAACTTCCATTTCCTCAAAACAAAAGATTCAGCAAATATCTTCTTTATTTCAAAATTTTATGTGAAGCTTCTGAATTTTATATTTATATTTCCAGGTTAAAGGAAGTTTTAATTGGTAGCACTCAAGAATAGTGACAGAAGGGATGGGAACGTTTCCCTGAGGAGACGGTGAGGAAGGAAGGTGTGAACTCAGCTGCCGCGCCCTTTCCTGAGGACAGGTGGCCGCCAGCTACACTGGACCCTGGGGGCAGCAGAGATTCCCTTCTCATTTTATTCATGTATAAAAATATGGTTTAAAGATGCTCCAGATAGGTCAAGAATCACATCATAGTTGCAGGGAGCTCTCCTTTCCCTTAGTAAGGAATAGAGACAGATAACAATACACTGCAGTTTTGTAAAGAGGACTGAAGTTCCCAACGCAACGAGACCCTCTGGAGCAGACCTCAACTCCTTCATTTCATATTTGAGGGGTTTTTCATCCTTTCTCCCCTGCATCAAAGTTTTCTGTAACTCAGAGTGTTCTCAAGTGTGGATATTTGAAACCTGTGCTTGCCAGAGGCTTCCAAGTAGGATGGATGAGCCATGGGGGTCCAGATACCAGAAGGACAGCAGTAGCTCTAAGACTTACCAGGACTCTTAGGAATGGCAAGAATAAGAAGCATAAATTCAAATATGCAATCGGTTGGCATGAGAGCATCAAGGATAAAGTCCAAGCAGGGTAATATCCACCCAAAAAGGTGGGGTCAACACTGCTCATACAAGGTGCTGACACCTGAAAAAAAAAGGACGTTCCCAGCCCCATAGCTGTGAACTCAAACTCCCACCAAAAGGGACACAACACAAATTATGCTGAAATTTAAATATTAACATTTCTGAAAACGTATTTCATTCTTTTTTGCTTACTTGAGAAATAATAATAAACTTGATAATTAGCAGATGCTATGGGTGCATGTCCTGACATTGATGATAATTGAACTGAATAACGGTTACTTCCCTCAAGAGTTCTCTCAGGAAGTATCAGAAGCCTTGCTTCGGAGTCAGAAGTAGAGAAATGTCAGCGTAAAATACCTTTACTCTGCTTAGATGCTGCTCAACAATAAAACAAATGCATCGAGCAGTGTAATTGTAATATTTATCCTGTCGGCGAGATTCATGAGGGATGTGGCATTTCAAATGTACAGATTTATACACACTGGCTCATAGATAGTTACCATCATTCCCAATTTGGTTTTTAGCGACTTTGTGATCACTTGTAATGTTCCACACGCATGCCACACTTTTTCTGTTGGGAAAGTCAGCCAAAGTCAAAAGTTATCAGCAACTTGAGGAGGATATAGAAGTCGAAGAAATGTCCAAGTAAAACTCATGACCAAGAAAAATGATTTAATGTGCTTCTCTGCTTCTTTGCTTCTTTATTTTATTTCTTCAGCATTTCTGGAGATTGGAAAATAAAGTTAAGAAATGCCTGGTTTTCAACTGGCCATGATGGTACATGGCTAGAACCCTAGCCCTGTGGGAGGCTGAGGCAGGAGGATCACAAGGTTGAGTCTAGTCTGGGAAACTTGGCAACTTAGTGAGACTGTCTCAGAATTTAACAATAAACAGACAAATCAATGGCTGGGGTTATAATTTAATGTGAAGGTCCTGAGTTCAGTCCCCAGTACTGAAAAAAAAAGTCTGGGTTCAGTTCCTACCTGACTATTCATAGCTTTGTGATCTTAGGCAACTCTGTAGTCTGCTTTTATACAGTGAGGTGGTCTTTAACACACAGTATCTGCCACTCTAAGAAAGATAAAAGTGGACTGTGGTCTGGGGCCCACACCCTATCTCCTACTCTCCACCTGACATCTGGACAGACCCCAGGGGCTGCGCTCTGCCTGGAGCCTGAGGGCCACCCAGATGCTTGCTCAGTGCCTTAAAGAAACGAATCGTGGCTGCTCTGGGTCTCGGTTATTCTTTAAGCCTCTGTCCTCAGAGAACAAAGGTGATGGTCTAGGTGACCAGGACAGGGCTGCTTCACTCACTGCAGAGGTGGGAATCTCAGCTCTGTTTCTGTTGAGGAGACTCCCTTAGCTGTGCACAGGCCGACTTTGGGACTGGGCTTGGAGAGTGGGAACAGCAGCACCGTGAGTCTCCTTCTGGGGAGAAAGAAAGCATAATATGTCTTGATTTGAGAGTGCTGCCTACAGGAAGCTCCACGTGGAGGTTGTCTCGTTAGCTTGTACGCAGCATGGAGTTGCATGTTCTCATATCCTTCCCAACTGCCAGCAGTCTCACCTTCCCATGATGGTTAGAACGATACCTTTTTTAAAATTATTATTCTGTGCCATTAAGGAGGGAACACCTTGAAATTGACGGAGGATAAACAATTTATAAGGGCGATCTCAGAAGAACAAATAGCATGATGGAGAAGCAAGGTCAAGCAAAGCAGAGCCTTTTGAGATGTGTGCCTGCAACAGAAGGGTCAGTCATGGTAAGGGAGGGTCCCAAGGTCGGACCAGGAAGCTGTGGGCCGTACGGCTGCTGCACGGCCGGATGATGACTCACAGGGTAACTCTCAAGTTCCAGAGGCAGAGACTGGACAGAAGGTCCCAGACCTCAGGCGGGGACTCAAGCCTGGGGTTGCCTTCAGCTGATGCCAAATCATTTACGGTAAATCACCAAACACCGGGATAAACATCCCTTAATCAGCAATATGCACAAACAAGTGAAAAATAGATAAAGATTTGCATTCAATGGTTCAAACCTGGGAAGGAGGGTAGTGTGTTTTAAATTGTTGTGTTTTAGAGAAAGAGACCCAGCAACTTTAAAAAGGTTACTAGAAAAAGAATAAGCATGTGCTACAGATATACTTAATATTTCAATTACAAACTTGTAAATTTAACCTGTGCTCATGAGTGGAATAAATAGTTACGCTAGTTCAAGGATTGCGTATCACACAGAAAATAGATAAATGGATACAACTGCAGTGTGCTTTTTTATTTTAAAACAAGTAGTAAAAAAAGAACAATAGCAAAATACCAACATCACAGAAATAAACAGAGAAAGAATATTAAAAATGATACAGGGTTTCAAAATAAAATGGTAAGGATTAACAGTGATTGTTATATTACATATTGTTATCTTCAAGGAAGTTGCTCAGATTACCAGATGTAAGAATGGAAGACTGTTCAAATCAGTAAAGAGAATACAGAAATAATTATGAAAAATTCATTAGCGATGATACAGAGTTTCACTAGACAAGACGGTAGGAATTCACCAATGGTTGTTCTAGTGCCTATTGTTGTCTTCAAATCAGTTGCTCAGGTTACCAGATATAAGCATGAAAAATTGGTCAAAATATAAAAAAAATTTTAATCATTAATTGTTCCTGTCAAAACCACCAGGTATTGTCAGTCTTCTCACAAACAAAGCTGCAGCTCTAGGTTATTTGACCTGTCAGGTCTACAAGGAGCAGAAGAACAGTTTTCTAAATGTTACATGATATCGCTAAATCCTCAATGATAGGAAAGTTTTTGTGAATCCTATATGAGATAAATTTATATTTTGTACCATGCTTGAAAAGAACACTTTCATAAAATGTGATGCTCTGGCTTGGATATGCTTTCAATGTCTCCCAGTGCATTGAATGATGCGTTGTCTAAATGTCTGATGTTAACACATGGTCTAGAAGTATTCTAGATGAACTTGGGACATCTAGTAGTGCCAGAAAGTAAGGAAGTTCTGAAACACACACAGATACTAAGGCACATATGTCAGAGAATCCGCAAGTTCAGGGATAATTCTCAGTGATCAAAATTGGGATGATTTGGTTAGAAATATATTGAATTAAAATCCAAACTGTAATAAACTATCTGAATACATAACAATGTGAACAATTTATTAAATAAATTGATAATGGGGAAGAAGAAGTAATGCTCCTCATGCAGAATGATTCCAAATAACATATATAGACAGGCGGTCCGGGGAAAGAGCGTTTGTGAATTACCCAACACACCTTCCTTCCAAAGTGCCCAGTAGAGCAGGCGAGACAAGAGCAGTTCTACAGAGCAGAGCCCAGGAAGCCTGACACTGATTATCTAAGCAGGTGACTGAGGGCAGTGTCCAGAGTCACAGATCCCTTTGCTGACACCTGCACTTGGAGCAATGTGGTGAAGCTGGCATTTGACCTCTGTGACCTTCCTCTACTACTGCTCTCATGACAAAAGCATGAATTCCACCAGCGCTTCACCCTAGGCAGTGCCTGCCCACTGCTCTCGGCCAGGTGAGACCGGAAGGAAGATTTTGGAAGGGATGGGTGAGATTATGGCACGGGTACTATTCATGGCATGTGGTTTCATAGGTATGTATTCTAGCTCCAATACATCAATTTGTGTGCATTAACGATATATGGCTTTTTGTGTGTGTCAGTCTCACCTCAGTAAAATGGGTAAGAACAACGACTGTCTTTAGCTAATGATGATGTATCAATATTACTTCAATAAACAAAAGTATCACACGTCAGACATTTACATGAGGGAACAGTGCACACAGTGTACATGCGAATTCTGTGTATTGTACTCTCCATTTTCCTGTGACTCTAAAATCCTTCAAAGCAAAATTTATTGAAAAGAAAATA